TTAGACGGTTTGGTGGTGGTTAGGCTTCTACTCGGTTCCAAATCCCCCAAATTACGGCAGGAACCCTAATGTCACAGACTGAGTATGTGTTCGCAGTTTAAGGGAGAATGACTCACTTGAGTGCACGCTGGAGCGTTTGGGTTCATTAGCCTTGGTTAACATAGAAGCCTGAATAGATTGCCAACAAATATTGTTCCTTTAGGTTCCTTTCTATAAGTTTACATACTATGTCCCACAACCCTGTTCATTACGGCCCCTATAGCTTCGGGCTCCTCACTAGAACTGTACTAGACTATGTACCAAACCCCTCTTCGAAGTGTTACGGCGCCTATGTGACGGGCCTAGGAGGAGTCCTTGGCTTGGCGTTTCGGTGAGGGAGCAGTCTCAACGTTGCCTCTTCTGTTGTAGTTTAGTAGGAGTCGGAAAGTTTAACCTTTTATTTCTGTGGCTTATTAGGGTGGTCAGTATTTCAGCCCTAACCACCTGTTTGGTAAGGGTGCCGCAATATTAATGCGACATACACAGGAACCCGTATTTAGAGAGCTACACACGTTTTTTTGCTATGCCGCTGGCAAGATGTCTTCCCTATAACCAAAATCTCATGAGACCCTGGTTAAACTCTCTAAATCACAATACGACTCAATACGAGCGCTTCGAAACTTAAATGTATACTCCATACCTACTAGGACTGAGTAGTCCCTTATTCCCTTTTTAGGGGTTTAGCTTCTCTTATAGCCCCCTTTAAACCAAAAAGGGCATCCTGTTTTTACTAGGTTGCTCTTGGGTCTAGCCTACTGAAGGGTCTCGGGGATTTAGTCAGGAGGTTGAAAAGCATACACGGCCAGAAGTCCTTTTTGGAAAAGTTTATGGTATTTCCAAACCTGCATACGGCCTGTTTAGGCTTATGATACACCCCTGACCCTAAACCCTAGCCCCAACCCAAAACTCGTCCGAGATTGTGACCCTAAACCCCACTTGAAGGATCCTGGGACATAGTAGCTAGGTTCATAAACAAGGTAACTATACCTACAATTACTTATCTTGGTGTTCTTCTGGTTGGCTCTTCGGACTTTAACTTTTGGGGTTTCTACATGGACTACAGTAAATGGGCTAAAAGTTTAACTTTTAGGAGGGGTTCAGAAGTCAGCCAAGTTATAACATTCATTAATTTACTTGTAACGTTACTTACTAAGTCCCCATGTAGAAGTAAACCCCGAACTCTCGAGGCGCCTACAGAACCCTCTATCGGAAGACGAAGTGGAGGAAGCGCCCCTACAAGACCTTCTTTCTACACCCTTGAAGGTCTTAGTAGCTGCATGGATACATTTTTTGTATACACTTTTCTGGGTAATACTACCCACTACAACACTAAAAGTGTACACTTGTGGGGGCTTATGAACTCAGCAGCTAACCCTAAGGCTCTAAGGACTTTAAAGCTTTTGGGTCCAAAGACCATACTATATAAGGTTTTTGGGCCAGTTTGAGCCTTAGTGTAAGAGGCACGTTTAATGATATAAATCCTGCATGACCCATAATAAGGAATATACCATAATTCCCATAGTTTAGGGTCATTAAGGTCATGCAGGATTTCTATCATCAACCGTAGGTGGACCCTAGGCTCTCTAGAGACTCTACACCCGACGCTCCAGAGCCACCACGCCAACTTCAAACCCACATCCTAAACCCCAAAAACCCGAAACAGTAAAGATATTACTGTAGTCCTAATTACGATTTCTATTCTTATTGTTTTTGTTGTTCTACAACAGCAATACTAGTGATCTCTAAACCCTAAACACTACCCTAACCCCTAAACCCTTTTCTTGCACCCCTAAGCCTCAGTTTTGGTGAAGCCCTTGGAGCTGCCCCCACCCTATAATAGTGATTACAAGGATGCTATTAGGGCTCTATATTATACCTTAGAGAAGCTGCCCCGACCCTGTAATAGTGACTATAAGGATGATATGAAAAAGGGCCCTAGTATATTCCTGTTATACCTTAGAAGCTGCCCCCATCCTGTAATAGTGATTAATTATAAGGATCATATTAGGGCACTATTAAATTATATTCCTATTATACCCTATTACAGGGTGGGGGCCCCTTCTGAAGCCCCAGGTACGGGATCCATGGACGTTGCCCCAGGAAGGCTCCAGATTGGACCGCCAGGGTTCGTTAGGGTTTTGGGGATTTTAGGGTTTAGGGTTTAGAATTTCGGGTTCTTTAGGGTTTTGCAGGGTTTAGGGGATTTTAGGGCTTAGGGTTTAGAATTTATGGTTTTTAAGGGGTTTTGTAGGATTTGAGGGGATTCTAGGGGCTTAGAATTTAGGGTTTCGGGGTTATTTAAGGGTTCAGGATTTAGGGGTTTAGGGTTTTATAGCGCCTGCTCGAAATAGTACAGCAGCCTGACATACGGTTGATGATATAAATCTGCATTACCCATAATATTGAATCTACCATAGTTCCCATAGTCTATGGTCATTAAGGTAATGCAGGGTTTATATCATTAACCTAAATATCGCCTTCGAGCCCGAAGGCTTTAAAATATGAGTCCGTAGAGCCGTAGGTTTAGGGTTGAACAGATGTTCGCTTTAACTGCGGGGCCTGAGCTTCGGGGAGTCAAAGGACCAAACCTGGAGCTTGTTTGCCCGAAGGGTCATCATCACCCAAAAGCATCACTAATGGCGATTAATAAAAGGGCCTTCATAAATAGAATAGGGGTTCGGGGGGTATGTTATAGTAGAAAGATAATATGGAACCCCCAAAACCTTATTCTAAAATATTAGGGCCCCTACATTATGCTCGTTGGGCCCAGCAGCCGTTAAGAAATGGGTCCTCAGAGCCTTTGGGTTGTGGCTGCTTCAACAGGGGGCATGGGTAGGTAAAGCCCTTACCCCAAAGGTCCAAGTACCTCATAATCATATACTCTCCAAAATCCTAACACTATCCTAAAACCGAGTTCCTAATTATGGGGTCCTGTGGACCCTTGGGGTACAACCGGAATCCTGCATCATTACTGTTGATCGAAGAAGGTTTACCATGCCTTGAACAGCAGAACACTACCTCTTCTGGGTGGCAGCCGTTCGTCTTGTGAGTCACAGACACATTGGGTTCCGGTTCCGCAGGTCCAGCTAAAGCCTCAAGCCTAAACCCCAACACCTGAAACCCTATAACTGAAAGCCTCAACACCGAAACTTGCTTGCTCCGCATTGAAGACCTGCAAGCCTAAGACACCTTTGTGGGGTTTGCGGGTTTCACTTGGTGATGACCAGTCTCCCGAGTGCCTTAAAGCCGAAGCCCTCGAACCTAAACCTACCAAACCCTGAACCCCTAAACTCCAAAACCCTTAACCCCTAAACCCATACAAACCCTAGACCCGAAACCCCTAAAACCCTAAACCCTAACCCCCGAAAAGCTACCAAACCTACCAGGCATCAGCCGGAGTCCGAGCCTACGGGAGCCTCCGACACTCTTGCTGCAGGGTTTTCCCCTAGGGATCAAAATAGCCCACTTGCCTTATGTAGTATGGTCTTTGGGCCCAAAAGCTGTAATATATGAGTCCTTAGATCCCTAGAGTTAGGCGGCCAAACGAACTTGAGTTTGGGAAGCTTAGGTACTCAGCTTAGTAGCTGCGTGGATACACTTTACGCTTTTTGGGATAATACTACCCACTATAAAACGAAAAGTGTACACTTTGTTGGGGCTTATGAACTCAGCAACTATTCTCAGGTGTGCGACAACGGGGTGCTTTCTGCTGGATGAACCTGTAATACGCGGACCAGAATCGCAATGCCGAGCCAACCCTGACTTCATGCGGTGTACCCGACACCACAAGGTATAGTATCCTTTGGAATTGTTTGTATTTTTGTTCATCTATAAAACCCAAGAATATTATATTTGTGTATTTTGGTTCTAAGGGGTATATCGTAAACTGCAGGCCCTAAACGGACCGGGAACCGGTGAATCGACGGATTCGGCCGGAATGGATCTGTCTTCGAGGGGCACTTAGTTACGCGATAAAAGGGAACACTTACTTCAGAGCCCTACCCTAGGGATCTAAGGACTCAGATATTAAGGCTTTGGGCCCAAAGACCATTCTATATAAGGCTCTTGGGTTATTTTGAGCGCTAGGGCTGGAGTGCCCTTGAATTGAGGGGAGCCCTACTATAGAAACGCCAGGGTGCCCTTCAAGGAGCCCCTGCTATGGAACCCTGGAGTGCCTTTCAAGGGAAGCCTATTATGGAACCCTAGAGAACCAAGCCTACAGAGTGCTACAGCACCCTTAACGGGAAGCCTACTATAGAAACTATAGTAACCTTCAGGGGGAGCATAGCGATACCAAGAAGGTAAGGGCACCATCAGGGTACGATGACGCCACGATAGGGGTGCTACACGGTTGAGGTAACCTGCTTCCAAGAAGCCCGGGAGGGAATGCGACTTCGTAACAGCCCCACACTGACGCCTGCTTCGGACATGTTCCATCGTCATTGACATGGTCCTGCTTTGAGATCCTTTTCATGGAGGCCTGGCCCAACCCTGAAGAACCCTAAACCCCTCCCGTCCGCGACCTATGGCTCTCAGGAAAACAGGGTTTCGGTGAGGTACTTACCTGTGACCAGATGACCGATTATTTCAAAGGTTTCGACCCTGTATCTACGGAGTGATGGCCTGCTGTTTTGTTTTGAACTTAGGGGCACAGGAATTTGCAAGGTCAACGTTGGGGTACATGTCTGAGCCAGGTAGCCCGTGTCCGGCCCCACAAAAAGTCACAGCAAGCTTCGGGAAGGTCAATCTCATGCCAGTGGAGACGAGGCATGCAACTCCCACTGCCTTAGCAAGTCGGCTTAAGAAGGTTTGGGGTCTTCTGATCGTTTAGGGTTTAGGGTTTAGGGTTTAGGGTTTAGGGTTTAGGGTTTAGGGTTTAGGGTTTAGGGTTGTAACTGTAGTAGAAGAGAGAGTCTGCACGGTCGGGGCATCATTCCATCGGATAGGATCCACTCGCCATCATGGCGAATCGCGATGGCTTCCAGCCATGTATCATGGACACAGGGGCGCCTGCGCCTATGCCCCACTGGGAGCCAAGATTCTCAGGGTTTAAGAGCCAACACAACCTCGAGCCACAGTTCAAATGTTAGGTCTGTAGGTTGCCTGCACCATGCCGACAAGCCCCGACTGCCATCAACAGTTATAAAAAGGAACCCCAAGACCCTATTCTAATTATTGTAAGGCCACTACATGATAGTACCCTTATAGATCCCTTATAGTAACCCATTATAGGACCCGTTGAAAGGAACCCCTTAAAGGGAACTCCAGAAAGTTGGAATATGGATTAATGGTAGGATCCCCTATAATTTACCTTAAAGGGGTTACGATAATGATATTCCAAACTTTCTGGCTTCTACTGTAAAAGGAACCAGTGCCATACCCAGAGGGCTGAAGCCTGCAGGAGAGGAACCTGGTGATCTTGGCCTTGGTCGTGCATGTACTTGATGTTGGCTCTGATTTGTGTGCGCCTTGTCTGAACTTAGGGGTACTTAGAAATAGTTTTAATTCGTGGTTATTATAAAAGAAGCAGCTGAAATTTTAATTTTTGCTAGGGTTCTAAGTTGAGTATAGTGAATTCGATTTCGAGGAGGGGAGAGGTGGGATGAAGTGCCCTTAACTCCTGAAGCCTACGTCTTGCTCCACGAAAAATCCGTAAACTTCTGTGGAACTCCAACTAATGCTGAGGTACTGCCACATCCTGCAACAGTTTTAAGGTTTTTCGTAAAATTCTATACCGCCCTTGACATGACCCCTAATTTAGACTGGTACAGGGTGGGGGCAGTACCCAACGTACGCTCCATGTCCCTAAAGCCCTGAGCCCAAGAGAGGGTTTCCGAAAATTACGGGTACCTTATTTTGGGGTCCTTATAATAAGGATCCAACTATTTAATGTACGTACTATATTAATTAGGGTCCCCTATTTCGGAAATTCCCAAGAACCCTGAAGAAGCACACCCGATGAAGCGAAGGTGGCTGTGCTGTTCTTGGCACATGGGCAGTGGGCCTTTCTCTTCGGCGCCGGAGGCAGGGAAGGATGAACAGCACAGGGTTGCTAAAAGGATCATGGGACTTAGTAAGTAAGGTTATATAAAGGGCTCCTTAAAGGGATCCTTAAAGGGATCTACAAGGGTATTATAAGGGATGTATGGGACTTAGTAAGTAAGGTTATAAGTACCTTAATTGGGGTTATAAGTATAGTTTCCTTACTTATAATACTAAGTCCCATGATCCTCTAAGCAGTATGTAAGGGCATCTACAGGAAGATCGGGGCGTTCCTGAAGGGACTAGGGACCGAATTCTCATCTGCCCCCTTCAATACGGAAAATATGGGGTTTTGGTGACTTTGACGGCTACGGGCTTCCCAAAATCGTTAAACCTTCAACCCTCTGAGCCCTAAAGCCCCCAATCCCGAAGCCACTAAAGCCCTAAACCGTAAACCTCCAGCCGTACCCCTGAAGTTTTGGACCTTAAACCCCTGAACCCTAAACCCCTAGACCCTAAACCCCTTAACCCCCTACACCTTTAACCATAAGACCCCCTGAAGCCCCGGACCAGGAGTGATCATTTGGGCATGGCTTGTCTCGAGCCTGTATATCTCCTTCGGTGCAGGGCTCGGCCAGGCTTTGGGATTCAGGGCTCAGGCTCCAGACTCCCAAGTTGTAGCTTACGGTTGATGGTATAAATCCTGCATTACCCATAATAACCCTAAACCCTAAACCCTAAACCCTAATTTAATAAGGAATATAATATACCATAATTCTTGCAGTTTAGGGTCATTAAGGTAATGCAGGATTTCTGTCATCAACCGACTCACAAGTTGTAGGGGTTCAGTGTTTAGTATGGGGGGCTTCCGAAAATTAGGGGGGGTACCTTATTTTGGGGGTCCTTACAATAAGGATCCTGCTATTTAGGGGGGCCCCCTATTTTCGGAAACTCCCCAGTTGTAGCTTAGTAGCTGAGTGGATACATTTCGCAACCTTTGGGAGAATACTACCCACTATAAAACTGAAAGTGAACACTTTTGGGGGCCTATGAACTCAGCAACTAAGTTAGTATAGGCGCCTTAATAATTTTCCTGTACCATTTTGGATGGCTCCTTACTATAATTATAGTAGAATATACCCCAAAGCCTTATTCTAATTGTTAAGGCCCTTGCAGTAAGGGGTTCGGGTTTAGGGTTTAGTTGTTCAGGGCTTAGGGTTTAGGCTGAATTGGAGGTAGCAGTGTAACATGTCATGATTGTAAGCCCGATTTTGGTAGGCTCTGGGTGCCGGCATGAAGTTTTCCACTCCTTGAGCTTCACCGAGCTGGCTTCCTGCTTGAGCCTAAAGCACAGCACTGCTCTTGATATAGCGCCGTTACTAGCCGGTTCGCATCTTCATGATCAGGCTCCGCGAGCTGGAGCATGTTACATCCATGTCTGGCAGCATCGTTTGTTGCGTTTTTAATCTTTTGTTGTGCGTTCTTCTTTGCCTCTGGCCGATAAGTGTTGATGTAAGGGTCCCTTGAAGCGCTCCTTGAAGGGAGTCTGTGAAGGTTTCTATAAAGGCTCGCGTCCTTTCCGTTTTCCGTCGTTCTTTTCAGTTCCGCCCAGGCTTCCATTCAATGGTTCCCTGGCTTTCATTCTGCATTAGGTTTCTTCATGTGATTACGGCCTTCCGCTTCTATGATAACAAGCTATGTCAAGGTTGTTTAAAGTAAGAGCTGCAGCCTAGGCTTCTCGTTTCCAGGGATAGGGACTGCCAGTGAATACGAGCACTATCTATTCCTCAGGGTTTGAGGTTCAAGTTTCAGTTCATGATTTCGGGTTCAGCTAGCACCAAAAAATCCCAATCAAACCCTATAGGGGCTTAAGCTTCACAGGAGGTGGAGCACCTGCCGGCGATATCGACCACGACTCAGGTGCTTGGGGAGCGAAGTGCGGATGTCGAAACGCTGGTGCGGGCTGTTGGGGCTCAGGGTCGAAAACCTTACGGTTCACAGGGAGCTTCGTGAATTTTTGAAGTGTTCATCTTCGTGAACCGTGTTGCTGTTGATGGTTTCGGAACGGGATTCTCTGAATACAAAATCTGCTGTTAATCTTCTGTGCATGTCCTATGTTGGAGGTCTTGACCACCTGACTGTCAGCCGGTGTTCCTCAGGAGCCAATGTCCCATTTTGATTATGGTATACCCCGTACTTGGAGGATCATGGGACTTAGTAAGTAAGGTTAAAGGTACATTAATTGGGGTTATAAGTATAGTTACCTTACTTATTACCCTATAGGTTACTAAGTCCCATGATCCTTTAAGTAGCGATTATCAGGAGTACGATATGCATTTCGGTCCCAAGGGCCTCTGGGTTATCCGTTTACTTGAACCCCAAACAAGCTCTGCCATGACCGCGTCTTCGAGACCCCAGCAAGTGCGTCGGCGTCTGTGCTGCAGTGTTCCTACTCTTTTCGTGAATCTTCAACGCCATAAAGCTTGCATTCCGAAAGCCGGGTTCGTGTGAAGGTGTGGCGGAGCGCCTACCGAGTATCCCGGCTGCGGAACGTTGTGGTTCGAAGTTAGGGGTTTCGGTGGACCACGAGACCTGCTGCAAAAAAAAGGTTAAAAGCTTTACTGTATTGAGTCCTGATAAGGCCTTATCGAGCCCTTTCAAGAAACCTCCTTATAGAAACCTTTTGGAAGAGCCCCTATGAAACCGTATAGCACCATATAAAGAACCCTGGTCATGGAATCGTCCGGCCCAAATCTCTCAAGATGCTCCGATTGGTCGGGCCGAAACCTAATCAATTACCCGTCTGGGGTCTTGTGGTTTCGGTTTTGAATGTGTTTCTTGTCTGTGTTTTTGTTTGGTCAATTGTTTGGAAGAGTACGGTTAGCATCCGGGACTGTAAGCCCTATCTAGGATCTAGAGTTTGAAAATTCAGAGGTGTCATTGTGTCTACCTGGGAGTCCAGAAACCAATATCTGGGTGTTCCTAAAGATTGATAAACCGGCGTTATGGGACATGTTGGTCGTATTTTGAGTCCATGCCACTCGTGGGTATAGGCGTGTGGTTGTTCTTCAGACACATCGTGCCCATCACCCAGCCAGCAGGTAACTGAGTTCCTAGGTTGAGGGGGCAAGCTATGATTGAGTTCGTTGTTACTATTCTGAACCTCTAGAGTTTCAACGCGGGGGTAGTGTTACCAGAGGTAGGGATCTGTTACAGATCCATGTTTGCGGGATGGTTGTTTGTTCAGACAGGCGGCCGGATAATTATATGCAACGAGGGTGGGATGCGTTTAAAGCTTTGTGGCTTCCGAGCTTCAAGATTGAAGGCCATCTAAATACGGACATAACGGTAAGAGCTGCTAATTACCTCTACAGTAGTGATGTCTGTCTTGCCGCTTGGCGACTAAATTTAGCATGACCCACCCCGACCAAATCCCTGTTCTTGTCATTTGCGCGCGACCCCGGCAGCCTAAGCATACGCTCGTAGAGGACTGAATGTTCAGTGTTACTATGTGGTACTCTGCCTACACTTAGATGGACCCCCTCACCCCTAGACCCTGAACCCTAAACCTAAACTAAAACCATTCCTGTTTCAACGGCCCCTGCATTATTCCGACTATCGGGCGAGGCTTCTTCCTGAACTTTGTCCAGGTCCAGATCTTCGCAGAAGCATACGGTGCCTTGGGTTTTCATAGACATACACCCCCCCCCAAGAGTATGAATGAGAAGTGGCAACGGCAGTACGCTGACCGTGTGTTGGTGTTTGTTGGCTCTCCGGGACTCTGAGCCTTATGGTGCTGATGAGAAGGCTGATGAGGTCTGCAACCGCCACAAGCCGTGCTATTTACTGTACGACATATCTTCTCCTATAGACTATGTCATTTTCTACAACCTAAACCCCCAAACGTAGGTAGAATAATGGCCCAACACCCACAAAAGGCTATTATTCTACATACTTTTGGGGCCTAGGAACATGTTATTTTTTAATACTGCCTTATGTAAGGCCGGCGCCTGGCTTTCTAATGCTGTTTGGCCGCTGACACCAGGGTGGGTTTTGGGGATGGCATTTGCTGTGGACCCAGAACTCACTGAGCACTGGCCCGGTTTGGGGTCAGGGCCCTAGGACTATGATTAGGGTTTGGGGTTTAGGGTCTAGGAATTAAAGTGAGGGTTGAGGCGGGTTTCAGGGTTTACAGTTCACGGTTGAGGGTTTGGGCATTAGGGTTTGGGGTTTGGAAACCTGGCTGGGCCAGCTCCAATCATACGGTTGTGGGTCCCAGCTGCATAAACGGTTCGCTCTGATTCGGTTCGCTGGTCTTTCTTGGAGGCTGCACGGCGTACATGACAGGACCTACGGTGGATTATCAGGGGTTCTGCCGAAACAGCACCCCCTAACTACCCCCTATTATACCTTAAAAAGATCCACTCTTCAGGACTCCAGGACCACAAGGGCTCTATAAAAGGGTACTTGGGGGGCTCTGCCGAAAGCATGCAGGTTGCATTTGGCACAATGGCGATACGGACTACTTCCACACATTGCGGTTGATGGAGGCAGGCCTTGATTTTAGGGTTTAGGGTTTAGGGTAACCCTAAACCCTAAACCCTGCACGGTTTTGGAGGTTTTAGGGTTTAGGGATGGTTTCAACCTTTGATTAAAGGTGAGACCATACCTGTAATCTTGACCTGAAGTAGGGATTGCATTACAAGTTTGATGGTTGTACAAAAAATAGCCGTTTAAAGGGTACTTGCGCGTGTGTATGTCGGGTTCGGGTATGGGGACACCAGCAGTGAACACCCTATCTACATGCATCTCATGCTTGTCACAGTGTCGGACCACTGAAAACCACGGCCGTCAGAGCATGCGCCAGGTTGAGATCCTCCCATCAGCGAGATGCATGTACCAGTCATCACATCCCTAGACTGCAGCTGGTGAAATCATCCGGTCCCAGTCTAGTTGTTGACTCACCAAAAAGCCTGGTTCTGTTTTGCACGGCCCCTTCTGTGAAGGGCCTCCATGCCCGTCACAAGGCTGACCACACTGCAACACGGGTTTCCTGCTTGCCAGGCCGGAGGCACCTAGAACCTAAACCTCAGATCCTAAACGCTAACGCCCTAATTAATCCTAAACTCTTTGTTGATTTCCGGTCAGATGACGGCGTGTTCAATAAATCCGAGCCTCGAAGCTTCAAGCCGTTTGAAAAAGCAGAAAATTGATTTAGACCCTGCCCCCGCCCTGGCCCTGGCAACAACGGGTAGTCATAGGATCTCGGCCATACAGAACCGAGGAGGGGTAATGTTGATGAAGCTGGGTAGAAACCCGAGGCACTAAAAGCATCACCCTTAAGCCAAACACTGGTTTTGAGGGCTGGAAACAACTCAGGGAAGGAGAGTTGCTAGGTGTCTCTGTGCTCCTTACGCCCACACGTTCTTATGATTGAACCGCGATGCTTTATGATGCTATAGTAGTCTAACTTCCCATCTATTCCTCGCATAAAGCATGTGCCTACTCTCCAGCACATAAGTCGCGTTGATTGCAGGCCATTTTGGAGTCCGCGCCGAATTCGCTGGTTCAGCTGTATGCTTTGGCCACATGGTCGAACCATGTGTTGGGGGGCTGAGGGGTGCTTCAGAAGCACCTGAGGCACGCGACGACAGTGTATACAACAACATCCAACAACCAAAACGCCTGGCCACCCCTCAAACACAGGCCTTCTAACCGGAAGGCGAAGCCCAAACAACACAAAACCGTGAACGCGAAACTCCGGAACTCAGAATCCTTACTGAATAGATGAGTCATCAGACGCATGAACCCGTATCGCTGAAGACCTTGCTCAGGCTTGTGTGAGTGAGTGTGGGTGTCGAAAACAAAAACCCTGAAGCAATAGCGAGCACGAGAACATCCTACAAACGGCGAACCAAGCCCCTCTACGAATGTAGCAACTCCACATGTAAGCAAACTTACGCACACAGAAGCCCTCAAAAGACGCTGCAGTCCAAAAGTACAACAGCCTACATTAAGCTGTCGCCCCTTCAAAACCACCAACCCTGGAGTTCCCAGCTCTGCGACATAGTCAGCTGGGCGGGTTTACATAGGGTTACAGCCTCTATGAAGTCTTCTGCCCTGACATAAAAACAAACAAACTCCACACACGCACGCACACACACACACACACAACGACGTGTCGCCTTCAATGGCTAGGACGAGCCTAGAAGCCAGCCCTAAACCCAAAGCCGCTCAAGCCCTAAGAGCGCGATCCCCGTTTCTAAACCAAAAGACGATGGAATTGTTAAGGCCTCAAACAAAAATACACATACACATAATAAAGATCTCAACTAGCCAACCCTGCTGGGTTTGACCAGGTGAGAAGGAAACAGATTAGGCGGCATCCACTTCAGGGCACTGAGCTGTGATCTTATCGAGGAGCACGTAAAAATCTCAACAAGCTTGTCTTCCGCAGTTTTTGTAGACCACATTACATAGGATCTCAGTGTTTTAGGAAGATTTCCGTGTCCTTCCTTCTGAACCCCCTCTCAAAACCCTTCTTCAAACCTTTACAAAACCCTAAGCCTGGAACACCCGAAAACCGTCGTAATTGATCCCTTCAGCCCCGTTCGAGGAGCTCTTTTTAACCCTCGCCTAAACACAATAAACCCTAAACCCTGAACGGGCAGGTGCGAGGCGAAAAGACACGAGGGTTCAACAAAAAAGAACGGGCAGGTGCAAGAAGGAGCTCAACAAAAAAAATGCTTAAACCCTAGTTTACCTGCTTGATTGAGGTCATCTGGGCTATCCCGGGTGGCCTTGAGACGGAGGGTGCCGTGGCACTGCTGCAGGCGGAGAAGGGTTCGGTGGGGTGTTTCAGGGGTTGGGGTTTGGGGGTGTTGGCGGTTTTGGGGGCAGGATGTGGGGTTGTTGTTGGTGGTGTCTAGGGTCTTTTTTGGGGGGCCCGCGGGGTGTTGAGTGTAAGGTTGGGGTGGGCGTTCGTGTTTTTTGCAGCCGTCCGGAAGGAGCAGTGCCGATGCAGGATACCTTGCTCTTTCCCCACGCTCGATGCTGGCAGATCCCTGGGCACTAAACCGCAAACCTACCAAAGCCCTATCCACCCTAAACCCTTCCATAAAGCCTGCGACCGATTCAACTTGGGTGTGCAACTGAACTGAACCCTAAACCCTAAACTGCCCACCATAAACTTTAAGCCCGAAGCCCTAAACCCTTCCACCGCGCACAGCCTAAACCGCACACCCTAAACCCTGCAACCCAAGGGACCCTTAACGGAACCCTGAAGGAAACCTTAAACGATCCCTTATAGAATCCCTTAAGCACCCCCTTAAAGGAGCCCTTAAAGGATCCCTTAAATGAGTGCCCAAAAGGGAACCTTTAAAGGAGCCCTTAAAGGTGTCCTTAAACCCTTAATTATCTTAAAGGAGCCCATACAGGATCCCTTAAAGGCGTCCCTTACAGGAGCCCTTAAAGGAGATCCCGTTTTTTCGATCCCTTAGAGGAGCCCTAAAAGAAGTCCCTAAAAAGGAGCCCTTAAAAGGAGCCCTTATATAAAGTTCCCTTAAAGGATCCCTTAAAGGAGAGCCCTTAAAGTTCCCTTAAAGGATCCCTTAAAGGAGTCCCTTATCGGATCCCTTTAAAGGAGCCCCTAGAGGCCTCGGTGTTCTCCTCCTTCGTCTCGGTGGGGCTGGGGCTGGCCATGTGGGAGCAGAAGGCCATGGAGCCGAGGGGAGTCGGGTTTAGGGGCTTAGGGGTTTCGGGTTTAGGGTCTTGGGGTAGGCAACTTGGAGGCACATCAGAGAGACCTCGTTCAAACAGGCTCTTGGGGTCTTAGGGATTTAGGGTTGAAAGGGTTTAGAGGGGTTGCAAGAGGTTTACGGCCCTGGCAGAAAGAGAAGGTTTAGTAAGTTGAGTATGTGCTACTGGATCGCAGGGTTTAGGGTTTCGGATTGGTTTAGGGTTCGGGATCTAAGCTTATGGGGGTGTAAGGGTTTCGTTGGGGGTTCTAAATTATGTTAAGACTGGTGCGCTCAACCCAACACCCCCGCTGACCTGATGTACTTGGACCATTGGAGGTGGCATGTTACATCGCTGTATCGGGGTCCGAAGTACATTTCCGGCTCTTCCTCTTCCTATGGGCTCTAAAAGGATCCCGGTCCATACATTTTCCTTGACATAATAGCTGAGATGGTTACTCTTTGTCGAGCCCGTGTTACATCCTGCGATTAGCATTTATAACAAAACCATCGCGAAGGAGGTTGTGGTAGTTTGAGGTAGTCTCCATAGAAGTCCCTTTTTATGTTTAGCTTGCTTTGGTTCTAGGCCTGTTGCCATACAAATTTGCAAATAATTGCACCGGGGAGACAGCAGGTCGTGTTCGGGCTATCGCAGTCGTAGGGTTCCGGGGTGCAGCAAAATTCCGTGAAGGTGCAGTTTCGCACTTCCGCCGGATATGTTGCCACAGTAGCAGCGCTCCGGCTGCATTTGCGCGTTGTGTTGAAGCTGTGTTTGGGGGTTCGAGTTGCAATTTCAGGCCTTTGGAGCTAGTTCCGGTTCCAGGAGTAGGGGTTGAGGCTTCAGAGCTTATGAGCCTTGGGGCTTGGTTCAGGACAGCTCTGCAGTAAGGGAGCGCAATCTTGCCAGACTGCCCTTCAAAAGTCGGATGCTCCTGCTTTGCAGGGTGTCGGGTAGTGTAGCGTACACCGACAAATTAGCATAGCTGTTTTCACTTTGGGCCGAATGGGCTGACATCAACTGAGTTCTACCTCAAGCCACCAAGGGATTTAAGGACCACCCGGACGCCTGAGCTTCTCAGGGAGAGATCAGACAGGTGGATTGGTGAGAAGGATGCAACAAGAAAAACGGCTCGGGGATAATTACGGTTCGGAGTTTAGGGATTTAGGGTTCCCTATGACTCCACTGCCTTGATCCAGGAATATACCTTAATTTATAGTAAGATCCATAATATGATTTAAGGACTGGTCATTAAGTGATATTGAAGTCTCTGGGTTAGAAGTGTCTGGTGTTTTCCTGGGCACCCTCATCCATTCCGGCGAATACCAGGCAATACCAATGTTAAACCGTGCCAATAAACTTGCCTGACTATTTCGCCACATTACACGAGAGTTCACACCGTAACTGACTAACACTACCTCCTCAGACCCTAAACCCTAAACCGGGTTTAGCCTAAACCGCGCCACGTAGGGGTTCAAGGCATAGAGGTCAGGAATATCCCTGAATATACTGGTGGGACAGCTTTTTTCGACTCTTCGATTGCAAAGCTTTGTAAAACCAAACAGATGACGGCTTCAGGGTTTCGGTTTTTGAGGCCTAGAGCCTTAGAGTCTTAGAGTTTGGTACTCTAGATGCCAAGACTTTTCCTTGGGCTCCAGATAGACCAAAGCAGGTACTATCTATAGACCTTAATTAGACCCCAAAGTAAGTACTATTTGTATACTTGGGAGCCCTAGCCCTTACAAAACCCTAGGATTTTACGACCGCCCCACTGAAGGTCATGCGATCCTTCGAGATTGCTGCGCGGTCTGCCACCCTTGCAGTGACCCTTGGCCCTGCAACCTGAGACAGCTGGTGTCTCCTACAGTTTAGGGATGTTTAGAGTTTAGGGCGTAGGGTTTAGGGTTTAGGGATGCTTACGGGTTTGGGATGTAGCATTCTGTCTAGTAGTGCGAATCTACCACCCAGCGGCACTGTCAATTTGCGAAGCAACTCCTCAACGCCCACCCCCACCACTCCCCCGAACCCCACTTCGGCAATGCTGAACCCACAAGCTCGCTCGGGTAGATTTTGCTTGTGAGCCGGGTAGTAGTGTGCATGAACAGTCGCGCCTAGTCGATGTCAACTAAACGTTTCAATGTCGGAGTCTAAAATCTAGACTTTGAAGACCATCACGAGATTCGAGATTAAAACATCCCTGAAGCCTCATTGCACAACAACTGCAGGGCCCTTAGGCATGTCGAAAGTTGTGTGCTTCTCATCTCACAAAATTGTTCTTCTTGGGCTGACCTGACAGTTCTAAGGAGCCAACCCGAAACCCTAAACTTTCCTAAACCCTACACCCTGGAAGCTTAACAAACAACACCCGGAACCCAACACCCAGAAACCTTAAAGCCTAACTCCTGAAGTCCGCCGGAGGTTCTCCGGGCTCACGCATCCTCATGGTTTCTTCTGGTCCCTCGCAGCGGACTATGGCATCATGCGACTCGCTTGGCTTTGCAAATTTCGGGTATTCGTGCGAAGGACGGCATCGCTGTGGCTCAGTTTTTTGCTGGATCTAGCCGCATCTAGCCTAGGCTCACCAACATACGCAGCTTGCAAACATCAGGCTATCGGTTGCAGCTCCTATACTGCTTCTTATCATAAACCCGAATACAGACCTCACAGAGACCCTAGAAACAAGCAGGTTTTGGTATTTCAAGGCAAGCGCTATACGGGGATGCCAGGGTTTCTTGTAGTGAGAGGGCTTTCTCGCAGGCCTTGCAGGGAATGAGGAACCCAGCAAAGCGGGTGGGATACAAGGAAGCCGGACATAGCACGTAGTCGTTTTGCCCCACCCAGTGCCTCGAATTCAAACAGATCCAGGAAAACTACTTGCTCTTCCTGAGTGGCAGCAGAAAACATGAGAGTCGAACACCGGTGACAGACTCGGTACGTGCACAAAGTCACACAGCGCCAAGGCTTTTCCTCATCGTGCGACACCAGTCGGTTCAGTTCACTTACGGTGCGGGCCTACAGTTCTTGAACCGTAGGGCTTAAGACTAAACCCTAAACCGTGGGGTTGATAGCCAGCATTTCGCAAGCAGGAAGCGAAGAGTTTTAGGTCCCGAGCCCTCAGTCGTGATTAGACTCCAGGAATTATGAACTGCTGAAGCTGCCAAGGGCGCGTGCGGGCTTGTGCTGGCTGTTTCGGTTACTTCATGTACCACTGGCAGGTGTGCATAGGTGCCATAAAAACAAGCTGCTGTGATGCCAGTCAAGCCTGGGACGTTACAGCAAAAAGCCCGAAGCTCCAAACCCGAATTCCTAAACGCGAAACCCTAAACCTTAAACCCTAAACCCCCATGGTAGCCAGTTTGGCTCAAGAAATCTCAGAGCTTCCACCATCATCATCCTGGTCGAAGCCATGGGCTGCCGAACGTCGCGCGCAATCTCCGCGCAAGGTCCGCAACACTACGACAAGGTGTTGCCGGAACCGCTGGCTGCAACACACGAGGTTGCTCAAGGGGAAGATCTGGAACTGGGTCCGGAAGCGCTTCCGGCAGCGACCCTCCTGACATCCAAGTGTCTGCAGCAGGTAGAGGAGGCTATGAACAAAAAACATCATCATGAGGAAACATTCCCGTCGGCGCACACGGGAAGAAGTGCTTCAACGAAAGCTGATCGGCCGTTCGTTTACTGTGGTGCAACCGGCCCTCCCAGTGGTGTTGCCAACGTCGACCGTCTTTGCTTCCGCATTCACACTCTTCGTGCTGAAGTCCCACATGGTAATGGCGGGCATGTTTGGTCTTTTGTCGCTGACCGCCCATGCTACGTTCACGCGCAATTGATGAACTCTCCGCGTATGGTTGTGGATCTTCAATCATCCGACGCGCGCCTCAGCAAACTAATTCCCGAAGCTTTCCTTCGTCACTTGGAGGATTACTTACGAGCGTTTGAACCTGATTACTTTTTGTCCGCGGCTTTTGATGCCACGAAAAGATTTCACGCTTCCATGGTCAAGGGCCATGTGGCACTCGAGGGTGCTGTCAGGGATTTCCACAGGTGTCATGGCGAGCAACCTGACCCCCGTGTTGAACTGATCCGAAGTGCTTATATGGCCTCGATGACTGCACCGTTATGGACTCAACTCAGACTTCTGGAGCTATCTTGGTTTATTTGCTCAACACAGTTGCAGTACTTTCCTCTTTGTACTGTTTCATTTCAGCCTCCTGGGTGATTCCTCAATTTCAGCTTAAGTGGCTGAAGACCATGCTCGTGAATCCTCCTGCCAAGGATGAAGCTGGCGACGAGTCAGCCTTCGTTCTCAGTGCGCATCAACTCACTGCGGATTTCACCTCCTCCTCACCCCCTGCGAAACGAGGTTCCCAAGCCTGGATTGACCATTGCGCTCACGCCGTCGCTGCGCAGTACAAACCAGACGCAGGCGGGGACGATGGTAGCTTACTCAGCCCCCTCAGACGGGCTGCTCACAAACCCCTTCCGCCTGAGTGGTTGGTTAAGCGGCACGGCTGCTTCATTGGTGGGTTAATTGGGGACATAGACATAGATGTTGGTGCTGTATCCTCCACACCTCACCATCAAAGCTTTTTGATTCTTGTCGAGCGCAAGGACGGCCTGGTCGTGCCGACTCTCGTAAGACCTGAACTCTCGCATGTGCAAAAGTTCATCTACCCTGACTGTGAGAAAGATGAAATTCAGCTCTCCCAGGTGTGTCCTTACAGGTATTTTGCTGCATTGATCAATGCCTATCCTGATTTGGAAACTTTCGAGACTGTCGGAGCGCTTGTGGTTCAGGGCTTGAAACAGCTTAACCGCGTCCCAGCTAATGAGCTCATCGAAACTTCTTTCCTTCTGCGCAATGTGGACGGCCCGGTGATCCCCTCTGCGGCATCATTCTGCGATGTGCCCGACATCTGCCGCAAACTCTACGGAGATTTGTGGGGCGTCACTCAATTTGAGGAGGCTATTCATCAAGCCTCTGCTTTCCTGCCGGGTCCCAACACTCGCACCCAGGCGCCTGATTCGGACGATGAGTTCATGTTTGAGCATCATGCTCCAGGTGATCTTTTGCCCCATGCCCCATCTGCAAAGCCAGATGAAAGTGTCAAAGGCTTGCCTGTGGTTATGGGAGAACCAACACCGAACTTGTCAATTTTGTGGGTAACAGCAGCGCTGGTATTGCCTGGTGAAATCTTCAGGCAGCTAGCGCACAAGGATCCGCATTTTGAGACCAACTTGCTAGGCTCTGACAATCAAGGCTTGCTTTCTGTCAAGGTTGTTTAACCGGCTGAGGTGGCTTATGCCATTTCTAAAGAGAAAGTCGCTCTTCGCGAACCCATTGTGGTGCTTGCCAGTCTTCCTGAAGCAAGCACCTATGAGGCTTACTCTTTCGACACAATCACCGTGACTATCAAAGCTGATGTCATGCGTGAGCTTGAAGCCCTCTGGCTTGAGATCTTAGCTTCCGGGCCCATGAAGGTGCCCCAGAGCGGAAAGTTAAAGGTTGGTAGATCTGGTCCGCCCATCTACCTGGTCTTCAACAAGGTCTCAAAATTCCCCCTGGAAGTCAAAGTCAAGGATGGGATAGCGAAAGCTGCGCCAGGAGACACGGTATACCAGGACATACCTCGGCCTCAAGCCCAAAAGGTTTTATCAGCATGCCAAGCCGTGCTGTCTCCTTCTGGTTACACGCTTCTAGCTACCCGCACTTGCAGAGCTATGTTGTTCGGTTTCACGGCCGGTCCAGAGACTAGCTTCCTGCCTGAAATCAGGGTGTCGGCTGAGCTCATGAACAAATTCTCTCTCAACCCAAAGCAGTCCCAATTTTTCAAGCTCGCTTCAGGGCGGTCAGCTTTTTCAGCGTGCCAGGCTGGACCCGGCACTGGGAAAACAGAACTCCTTTCCTCCTTGGCGGTTAACCATGGTGAAAACAGCCTTCGCGTGTTGGTGGTTGCTCCAAGTTGGCGAGCTGTTGAGGTGCTCGCTACGAGAATCATCCAGAAGGCCTCTCATCGCCCTGGAGTTCATGTGTGCGCTTACAGTGACGATGGAACGGTTACCGGGGACCTGAATGCCCGCATCGTTGTCGTTACTTCAGGAAGCGCCCTGAACCCCAACAAGGCTGTTGGGGCTTTCCATGTAGTCATGATGGATGAAGCTGCTGCTGAGACGGTGGGCCAATGCCTTGCCGTGCTGCATTGCGGAAAGAAGTCTGGACCAGCCAGGTTGATTTTGGTTGGTGACGTTTACCAACGTGATCCGTACGTTGCAAGCCAGGCAAGGATGAAGACAAATCTATTTTCCGATGCCCTTAGCGCTGCGACCACCGCCGGAGTCAGCTTAGCCTTGATATCTGCTTCAGATGCCCAGATTTATTGATCCGTCACGTATGTATGGCCGTGACGGGTGTTGAGATCAAGGCTGCCCTTCCAGCCCGAGGGGAGTATGAGTACCACAAGCTCCGTGGGGCGCCCGAGAAGCAAGGAACTTCATGGATCAATCGTGAAGAGGCGGTCTGGGCTCTTTCCAGAATCACTCAGTATGTCACACAAAGAACATCCAAAGATACCTTGAACGAAGTTGGCGTCATTTGCGTGTACAATGGCCAAAAGGAACTAATCAAGGCCATGTGGTCCAAAGATCCTTTACCCAACACCTCTCGCGATGCTGGGATGTGTGCCGAAGTGCCGTTGGGACTGGAATCCTCGCTGTGGTACGTCCGAGAGTGAGTGCTGAAACCCCCATGGTACCCCTAGAGAACCCTCAAAGGAACCCGGTGGTGCCGTTATAGGTCCCTTAAACGAACCCTGCCAACCCTAAAACCTTAAACCTAAAACCCAAAGACGCTATAGCACCCTTTAAAGAACCCTTACTTAGAAGATCATGGGACTTAGTAACTGGGGTTATATGTAAGGTAGCTATACTTATAACTACTTTTGACCCCAATTAATAAAGGTACATATAACTTTACTTACTAAGTCCCATGATCTCTCAACTGAAGGAACCCTACACCGTCTGCCCTCCCCAAGGCCTCTTCGTGGCTTTGCCCTTGGTCCTGGTCAGCTTAGAACCCTTGGTCTGGAGGCCGCGGGCAGACCTGGGCCATCCATTTGGGGTGTAGGGTTCCTCCAAAGGAATCTATAAAGGGCTCCGTAAGGAATCTATAAGGCTTACCGGTTTTATAGGCTTTTAGGCTCTTAGGGTTTAGGGTCATCTTAGTTCATTTAGGGTTTAGCGATATAGGTTTTAGGGCCATCTTAGTTCCATTTTTTGTTTAAAGTTTAGGGTTCAGGGTATTCTTTGTTGTACTTCCAGGTTTATGGTCATCTTGGTTCTCAGTTTAGGGTTTAGGGGTTTAGGGTAATCACAATCATTGAACAACATCTTCGTTCTCAACTGCGCGGCCTTGCAAAGTTTTCGGCTTCTTACGATTTAAAACCATCAACGCAAACAGTGGCAAAAATCACGATCACCAGCATCATTTCCTCCAGCAGTACCATTACCACCCTTGTCGAAATTACCACCCCGACATAGTCATCTTCATCCACATAATCAGCATCACCACCATCATCATCACCAACATCATCCATTTTGTCTCAGTGGAGCAGTGACATGTAGTTGTAGCTCCAGTGATGTAGGCAGGCTAGTGTTCCTCCAAAATGTGAATACGATGAACACGGTCTTGGTTCTGCCGCTGCAGATGCAGATTACGACAAGGATGGAGAAAATTACGGGGACCGTGACAAGACTACGTACCATCTTCGTCAGCAGATTGCAGGTGTCGGCTGAAACTTCGGACCGCTAGCCCAGAAGTTGCAGCCCGCTCCTTCCGGCTCTGAGATTTGGGGCTTACACCGTATCAAATCAACCCTAAGCGCTACATCCTACACTCGACCTTAAATCCCAAGCCCCAACACCCTTAAACCGAAACCCGAGCTTTTTAATGCTTGAACTTAAAGAGGTTTGTTCGAATTCCACCTCGAGTCCTGTGTGTGCCGGGAATCTGCGGCCTGGCATCTCACCCCAGGTCTCAAGCCCGAAACAAAAATGCAGCTCTCAAATCCTCAGTCTTATTCCCAATGCACAGGCGTGAGGACCACGCAGTGCCAAAGGACTCCTACTACCTGGTCCGTGTTGCTGAGTTTGCCGCTCGTCTTCGGCTTGTGGGTTCGGCTTCGGCGTTAGTTGGGGACCCAAAAAGGACATAAGCATAAGCATTTTCTAGGGATATCCCTACCTACTTGGGCTTCATTGTTAGGGGGGCTTATATGGGATATCCCTACCTACTTGGGCTTCATTATCAGGGGGGCTTATATGGGATATCCCTACCTACTTGGGCTTCATTACTACGGGGGCTTATATGGGATATCCCTACTTAAAGGATCATGGGACTTAGTTATAAGTACCTTAATTGGGGTTATAAGTATAGTTACCTTACTTATAACCCTAGTTACTAAGTCCCATGATCCTCTAAGTACCCTGAAAATTGCTTATGTGCTTTTTTGGGCACCTATTTGGCGTGTCGGGCTTTGGTACGCGGGGCTTGCCCTTAAAGCCCAGCTGCCCAGGTAACGGTTCAGGGTTTAGGATTGAGGGTTTAGGGTTTTTTAGGGTTTAGGATTGAGGATTTAGGGTTTTTTAGGGTTTTGGGTTTAGGGTTTAGGGTTTTTTAGGGTTTTGGGTTTAGGGTTTAAAGGGTTTAGGGACAGAGATGGTTTTTTAGGGGGTTGCTGGTCCCTAAACCTTGTGTAAGCCCCGTGGTACCAGCAGCTCGGGAGCCCCTTCAAGACACCCTATGTAGAGTCTCCATTGCAGTTCCTTGTTGTGTTACCTGGCAACATAGGAACCGGACTATGTGGAGCTGGTTAAACCCAAGAAGTGGAATTACAAGCGAGACTACATTTCTGATGTAGGTTCCTGGCGTTCCAGGCTAAGCCCTGCACCCTACAACCCTAAAATCCGAAACCCTAACGTCCCCAACACCCTTAACTAGAGTATCTACAACCCTAAACCCTCATTTCGACTTTAATAGGGAAATGTTGTCATGCTCCCTTTAGGTTCGCTTCACTTAGCGCCTCCGAGCCATATGCCTCGCCTGGATTGTCCGAGTGCGAGCGCCGAAACCCTAAACCTATAGCCCTTCAGCGTCTGCGGCCTTCAGGTGGTGATGTGGCTGGTTATCCTCCACAAACAGGCGAACACCGAGGGTGAGGCTCATACAGGGAGTTCAGGGATCTAGGGATCTTCGGTTTAAGGCATAGAGTACTCAGGGTTTAGGATTTTGGGTTTAGGGAATAGGGTCTGGGATTGAGATTTGGGGTTCAAGCTTTACGTAATTAGCGACGGACTTCTTTGGGGCTTACGGCAAGAAAGTTGACTTCTGAAGCTTAAGGCCTTTGTTAATTGGAGTTTTGAGGCTAGGTTTACATGTACTTGAGTTGAGGTTCAGAAACAGACGTTTCGCAGTTATCTGTATTGGGTCGGTTGAGCTTAACCCTGGAAGAAGCTTCGATGTTGTGGCCTAGAAACGCAAATAACGTAGAGAAGGAGGGGGAGGAACCTTCATGGAGCATGATGCTCTTTTCAGGAACCGTAACCTCCGACGCGTTTGAGTTTTTTGGTTGCGGAACATCCCTCCATAAGGCGACTGTACAGTTGTTAGAGGGGTTCCAGGGTGAATGGTTGGCATCGCAGCTCAATTGGCCAACGCATAGAGAGTATGAAAGCCCACAAGCTCGGGCAGGTTGAATTAGCGATGCGGACAAGATTTCGTAGTTAGCTCTATGATGTTTTCTGGATAATTATTGTCATCCTAGTTGCAGTCGCAAACTGAAGAGCAGCAATTACCCGTTTACGATTTGAGTACTGGGAGAAAGGGTGCCCTAGGCACCCAAATCTCGTATACACATCAGAGGCACGAACAAGCAGAAGCGCGAACATCATCCTCGACCTGTTGTGGTCCCGAGCTTGCTGTGGTCCTCTTGATCCTCACCCTCGAAGCCCCAACACTTAAACAAACTTTAATCAATCCCAAAGACCTGCCCCAAACCAAAACCCCTAGACAGCCCGATTCAGGAGTCTTCCGTGCTCGGTTGCGAGATCTTGGCCCTCTTCAGCATGCCGCCTGCCGAAGATGTCGGCATTTACCCCTCGACAGACCAACCTGCAGCTACTCCTGCTCTAAACCCTCTCCCTGACTGCGAGGTATGTTAGAGCCCCACAACACCCTTTTCAAACTTATGTCCAAGTGGTCCCACAAACCCTACAGCCCCCCAAACTCCTTCCAAAGCCTTTTGCAGCCCTACAAGACCTCCATCCAAAACTCCTCAAAACTATGGCAACCTATAGAAGTTGATGATATAAATCCTGCATTACCCATAACAAAGAATATCCGATAATTCCCATAGCCTAGGGTCATTAAGGTGATGTAGGATTTATGTCATCAGCCGTCCGCGCCCTCAAGTCCCTAACCCCAAACCCTCCATACGTCGCAGATAGGCTTCACTTCAAACGGGAGTTTCCGAAAGTAGGGGTACCGTATTTTGGGGTCCTTATAATAGGGATCCTACTATTTAGGGTGCTATATTAGGTTCCCCTATTTTCGGAAACTCCCAAATCGACCTAGCACCAAAAATCTCGCCTTGCAGGTCTGAGAGTGAGCGCCAACAGGCCCCTTAAAATCAAAGGGGAAAAGGAGGAACCCTTAATGGAGACCCTTTAAAGGGATCTATAGGGCTTCTTTAAGGGTATGGGGTTTAGGGCTTAGGGGTTTGGGGGGCTTTTGGGGGTTTAGGGGAAAAGGAGGGACCCTTAATGGGGACCCCTACCCTATAATGGGCTATATAATGGGTATATATTAGCTATATTAAGGGTATATACCTAGGGGTCCCCATTAAGGGTCCCTCCTTTTCCCCTTGGATAAGAGCAACGCTGAAAGGATTGCAGCCCTAGGGGAGCCCTTTCAGGACCCCTTTGGAGGAACCCGAGAAGCAACCCAAACAGTAATCGTGGGAAGAAAGCCTCACAAAGAAGCCGTCAAAACGACAGATTTTAAGAAAGCCTTCAGAGGAACCCATAAACGAACCCTTTCAGGAACCGAACAAAACTTAGGAGTGAGGCGCATGTGGACCTATGGGTCGAAAGACGCTCTTTAAAGAACGTATAGAACCCTGTAGTGCCCTCAAGGGGAAACCTTATTATAGAAACCTATAGTACCCCTAAAGAACCCTTCACCCTAAGCCCTTAAACTTCTGAACCCCTAAACCCTACATCCCTATAGGATCCGTAATATACTATAGAGCCCAAAAAGGCCCCTAAGCCTAAACCCTAAACCCTGCCCTTTTCACTTACCTTAAAGGCCCCTATACCCTAAACCCTAATAGTACCCTTATCTTGCTAGGTAGGAGGGAAAAAATAGTATATACCCTTGAAGGCCCTTGTAAGTTGCAGTAGGATCCCGAACGTGGGCCGAAAGAGGCTCGGTCTCTTTGTCACGTTGCCCTTCGTGTGGCGGACTGCGCGACAGCCTCTGGGCTCTTACTTGGGTCCAGGGGTCTCGGGTTCGGAGTTCATAGGGTTTACGGTTTACGGTCTGGGCATTCAGGGTGTAACAAGACCTGCATTCTTTAGAGTTCCTCAGCTGGTTTCCTTGCCATATGTCCGTAGAATGGCAAAGGTAGGTTTGGGGTTCAAGTTATGGTAGGGTTGCAGATTTAGGGGTAAAGATCTGGGGTTTAGGGTTCAGGGTGTGGGTTTAGCCGTTTAGCTCTAGGTCCTAGGAGGTTTAAGGTTTAGGGTTTGGGGTTAAGGCTTAACATCTTTGGATGGCTACCGTGAAGTTGAGGGAAGCGCCTTTAGGTCAATGGGTTCGCACAGCGCTTCATAGCCCCAGGCCGCAGAATCGTTTTGCGTACCCCGAGCCAAAGCCATCTACAGTAGATACCGCTTAAGTACAGATTTAGGAGTTTCCCAAAATAGGAGATCCGAATTGTAGTACCCAAGCAAGTAGGATCCTTATTATAAAGGGCCCCAAAATAAGGTAGCCCTAATTTTCGGAAATCCCCTTTGAAGAACCCACAGCAGCAATGGTTTCCAATGCCGAGCCGGGGCGAAGAAGCACCTCTCCCTTAAGATCCCCAATACCCGACCATAAAGCTTTTGGGTTCTTGTAGTTTCGTAGGAATCGGAAAGTGTAATTGGAGGGGGAAGCTTAATAAGCACGACATTGCCGGGGACCCGAATCTTGGTGCCGTTTGAAGCAAGAGGCTTACTTAAAGGATCACGGGACTTCGTAACTAGGGTTATAAGTAAGGTAACTAACTATACTTATAACCCCAACTAAGGTAGTTGTAACTACATCCCATGATCCTCCGAGTATGAATCAGGGGTCGACATTATCCCTTGGTTCTAGAGTCTGGAAGCAACGGCAGAGAGAGAATGACACCAGGGCTTCCTTCTGTACTCTGTCATACGGCGGGGAAATATGGAGGTCTGCATGCTCAGCTAAGTCGATTAGAATATCCGTTTCTGGTACGTACCGAAATCTTGTTGCGATACACCCCTGTGATACACCCCAAGAGCTTGTTCGAAGTGTGCAGGTGTTTTCGAGTACTTATGATCCTTGTTGTAACGCCGATAGAGGTGCTTCAATATTAGTCAGAGCCATGCCACCTACAGTAGTAATTAGTACCCTTTCGATATTGCTCTCAAGTCACGTGAGATACTGCACTCTGAGCCCAAGAGCCCAACTCCTAAACCCTAAGCCCCTAAACCCCCGACCAGACTCGAACTCATATGCCTTGCCTGGTTTGTCCGAGTGTGAGCGCCGAAACCCCCGACCTTTCCGAAACTTCAACCTTTAGCCGAAAGTATTGGGGACTTGATTACAAAGCTCCCTGAGCCCCAGCTTCTGAACGATACCCAGGAACCCCAAAACCTTTGTGTTCCTTTCAGGCGTATGTTTTCTCGGCTTTCGGGCTTTAGTGATTTAGGGTTCGGGCTTTGTCGTTCTACAGTTGGCTTCAAGATTTGTGTAGTTTTGTAGGTGACCCTAACCGCGCAGCCCAGGTATGAACTCTGCCGCGATGTGGCAGACTGGGCCGAGGAGGACGAGGGGGTGAAAGAAGCTATGCATCTTGGATCTATAGCCCTAAACCCTAAACCTAGGCTTATCTAGGCCCCTTAAACACCCTAAACCCTAAACCTCAGCCACCTAAACACCCTAAACCCTAAACCTAAGCCCCCTAAACCCTAAGTATAAAACTCCATGGGTCTCAAGGCTCTTATTTCTCGTTTTGGGGTAGTATGGCGTTGCCTGAAAGGCTCGTTTTGGGGGTTTACGACTGGAGACACCAAACCCCGCCAGTAGAACATATTTGGGATCGTGCTGTATTCTCGGTTGAAGCGCTGAGTTAAGTGGTTCTGGTGTGTCTGGAGGATATGGGGGTTTGCGATTCACCGAAGGACCCAAGCTCTTAAATGCCAAAAGCTTCTTAGCCGTAATAAGCGCTGCGACCCCAGCCTGCGATCCGATACCAGAAATTTTCGGCTTACCACGTATTACATATTACGGTTGATGGTATATATCCTGCATTACCTGCATGGCCCTAGACTATGGGAATTATGGTATATTCCTTATCATGGGTAATGCAGGATGTATATCATCAACCGTATCATTCAGTATATCATGGACGGCAAGGAGATACTATTGCACACGATGGCTGGCAGTTTGACCCCGGCATGAATGCTCACGCTTGGTGTTAAAGGGAACTCCAGAAAGTTGGAATATGGTTTCAGGGTAAGATACCTTATAATTTACCATAAAGGGTTTAGGATAATCATATTCCAACTTTCTGGCTTTTACTGTAATTAACAGTGGAATCATGTTGCGGGGGCGACAATGATGACAGTAATAATGACATTCGCAACTATCATTGGGAGCCTACAGCAGCAACTGGCACGAAAACTAATCATCATGAGAAGAACCCCAGTAGAGATTTGAATAATGCTGATCGTCAAGAAATGTCAAGAACATATACGAAATAGCATAAGAATACTACTAGCGATACTATGTTTCATCATTCAGGAAGGGTTTGTTCAGACCTATGTAGACGGTAGCCATGGACTTTGCGATCCTTTCATGTCTGGCCACAGCCAGAGAAACACGGTAGCACGAAAGCGCAAAAACCCCGCAGCAGCAACTTCGAAGTAGCAGTAGCAGTAGTAGTCGTCGTCGTCGTGGTAGCACTAGTACTAGCACTAGTCGTAGTCTTAGTTGTAGTCGTAGTCGTCGTAGTGGTGGTGGTAGGAGTAGTAGAGAGTGGAGGAGTAGGAGTGGGCCTAGGACCAGGCCCGGGACTAGGAGTTGGAGGCGGAGGAGGAGGAGGATCTGCGAAACAGAGTAGAAGCCATACCGACTGCGAGTAGAAGCTGACCTAACATGTTGATGACGATGATGGTGACGGTGCTGGTCATTGTGATGATGATGACGACAGTAATGATCCTGCCGAGACAATGTTGACAAAAAGCGACAGAGTCGTGGATGGTGTTTGGGACAAGGATGTACTACTGGGAAGACGATGATGACGCGTGTGTGGTCTTCGGGTTGGGTGCAGATACAGTGCAGTTGTGGTGCAGTTTTTTGCTGCTCTACCTGCTCGGAAAATTGAGCTATGAGACCCTTCCAACCGGCCCGAAAATCTTGGAGTGCTGCTGCTTGAGAAGCTCTTCCCAGAGCCTCCAAAACCCTTTAATTGAGGAATATACCTTAAAAAAATATTAGGGATCCTACTATGATTTAAGGCTCTGGGTTCACCAAAAGGCCTGAGGGGTAAGCAAGGTGCAGAGCTGGCAAGGCCAGAATCTAAAACAAGCAAGGCTGAAGCCCAGCCATTCCTCTTAGGGGTACTTAGAAATATGTTTTAAAATTTTGGTTATTATTATAATCCCTAAGAAACAGCTAAATTTATAATTTTTGCTAGGGTTCTAAGTTCAGTATAGTCCTGATGTCCTAAGGAACGATGGCGAATACTATTCCGGCTCAGATGACAGCCTGGATGATCCCAGCTGAAGTTAAGACAGGGCAAGAATCTAGAAGCCTAAATACTTGATTACCAATATTGTGCCTCAGGGTTCCTCAATGTACTTGCACACAAGAAAATTACCCCAAAACACTGTTCTAACAAGTAAATGCCAGGCCCTAAATTGTGCAGCCGGGCGTGGCCCGGGACGCGGGGTCACGGGACATCAATAGTAGGTTTCGTGACAGGGTCAGAGGCCCGGAAGCCCAACTAGGGGACCTTCCTAAACCGGTATAGAGCCCATATAAATCCCTTACAGAAGCTCTTATAAAAATCTCGATGAAACTGTACCCCTTGTTGAGATCGTGCAATGCAAAACCTCCTGTCTAGATGCTAACAAAACCAATTCAGACTGAGTAAGGAGCCTTAAATGGGAGTTTCCGATATTCGGGGTACCTTATTTAGGAGTCCTTATATAATCAGGATCCTACTAGGGTATTGCAGGGTCCCCTGTTTTCGGAAACTCCCAAATATGCAGCTGCTGTGGAATTCAGTACGGGCTTTGGTTTGTAGTGTGCAGGGTGATTGGAGTTCACGTGAGACCCCAATACAGGCCCTCAGTAGTAAGATCCTTGATATATGAACCCCTGGCAAGGGATCCCTATGCATATGGAGCCGCACATGTTCTTCCCGCTTTTGTTTGCAACTCCTTTCCGGTATTTTTGTGTCAGCCCAGCAGTACCCTTATTCCCTTTTTGTAGTCCTAGGTTCCTTATACAGTTACCCGATACCAGACAGGGAGCCCTTTTTATTCCTAGGTTATTGGGCATCCTGGTAGAGGGTAGTTGCAGACAGGGCAAACGGAGGGGCAGATTGCACCTTGCAACTGAACTACATGGAACACCTTGCGAGTCGAGTGTTGATAAACTTAGCGGTAGAGTAGGTTGCCTTGAACCTGTTTGGGTTAATCAAAGATGAACATCAATCCCCGCGGCAACACTGGACAAGTAAGTAACCCTCCATGTGCAACTTTCACGAAGAGAGTCGGCAACGCTGGCCCCAGCTACCAAAGAGTTTCGGCCTGAATGTTCCAGCCTTATACGCAACTTGGGGCCGTATTCATATGGGCTTGTGTGTAGTGTTTAAGTCTTGCTTGAACAAGGCTTCTGGTTTAGGATCTAGGGTTGGACCTTTCCCTGCCGAGGGAAAGGCTTCAGGGTTTTAGGGGTTGAGGTTCTGAGATTAGAAGTCGGCATGTCTCTATTGCAAAACTGGTAATTGAAATGACAATGGGAGCCCCCTAAACCCTGAACCCTAAACCGTGGATGGAAGCAATATGCAAGGGTGACACCACTTGGGAGGTGTGTATACGGTTTGGTGCAGGAGGCGCTGCTGTCAAGTACCACCGTTTCAGGTAGCTGCTACCCCGAACGAAGGTTTTAGAATTTAGGGTTTAGTAATAATAGCAGTTGGAAGAGTTTATTAGTAGCAAAGAGAAGAGAGACAGCTTTCGCTAAAGGATCGCGGGAGACGTGACGAAGAGCTGCCGCCTGAGTGAGGTCAGGAAGGGCTAGAGGTGGGGTGCGATGGGTTGTTTTCTTATGACTTTACATCAGCTCTTCTTCGGTATAATTACAAAGTTGCCGTCTCGGTCATTAGGGCTAGGGTTCCATGGCATTCCAAGGATTGTTTGTCTAGGACTTCATGATTTAAGGTTAGGGTTTATCGCTTCGCTCAGTGTTAGAAGCATCAGAGGTTGCAGTTTACAATAAAGTATTGGCATGTTTTCACTTGTAAGCACCTAAAAGTCCCAATTGCCATCATCGTCAGGATGACATCAGTATTGAACTGCTTGTTCTGTTTGCGAGTCTTGTGTCTCCGTGTTGCTGGTTTCTGGTGTTTGGAGTTTGACGAGGTCATCACCGTCATCGGTTTTTTGTCATGTCTTTTTGCCACTTCTGCTGATATTCGGCCTTCAAGTGTTGGTGTTTCTAGACTTTGAGCCGCAACTTTTCTTACAAAACCACAAGAGCACTTCACGGCTGTAACTGTCTCTGTGTGTGTGTATGTGTATGTGTGTGTGTTTGGGCATATCGGGCTCCAGAGATTCGGCAAGTACGGTGTAGGTATAGAGAGGGCGCACCCCAGCTCGTGCCAATTGCTTTAATTCAAGGTTCTCACCAAGCCGAAATTAGCACTGGAGCTTTTGGTGCACACCGCAGGAACCGCCAATTGAGTTAGAAGACGACATGATCACATCGCACACAGCCCTAAGTGCAGAGCCCCCTTGTGAAGTACTGTCGTCTGATCTCCGGAGCTGTTCACTCGTACGGGAAGTTCGGACAAAGTGCATGACCTGCGACATTCCTTAATCTATATTACGGATCCTATTATGATTTAAGGTATATTCCTTAGTTAAGGGGTTCTGGAGGCTCTGGGTAGACCAAACCTATACCGACATTCTTGTGCACCACGAATTCGCCAAAGTGCCTCCAGCAGTCGACTGCGGACATTCGGTGAACTCTTTATTTGGCGTTCTTCTGGTTGGCTCTTAGGACTTTAACTTTTTGGGTTTCTACATGGACTACAAAAGTTTAACTTTTTGGAGGGGTTCAGAAGTCAGCCAAGTTTAGGGGCTTAGGGCTTAGTGGAGTTTACGGCTTACTTGTGGCCACCCCCCATTTCAAACATGGGCATGGCAAGGAGCTCTAAAATCACATGTTTTTTTTTGGGGGGGGGCGACAGGTCCGAAGTATGAGTGTCACCTAAACGATCGCAAGATGCTGATCTATCTTAGTGTTTCGGATGCCAGTTCTGTTTGACACACAGCCTTGTTTACGTTACATCGAGGCTTTAGTCAAGTATTTTTTAAGGATAGCAGGTGTTCCCACATTTTGGTGTAGGCACACAGCAGCAACTAACTCTCCATCAACTTCGTGGATCTTACGCTCGCGGATGGGTCGACAGTGGCATTATCGCTTGGAGTTCTTCCGGTTGGCTCTTAGGACTTTAATTTTTGAGTTTCTATACGAAGTATGATAAGGAGGCTAAAAGTTTAACTTGAGGAGGGGTTCAGAAGACAGCCAGGATCCGTTCAGAGGTTCCATTGCTTGATACCGACTGTGTACTCCAGCCTCGACCTTAGCTGGGTGTTCCACAGTAAGTTTTGTTTCGTTGTGTTATGCGTTAAACCCAGCGAGTTACTTTTTTACCATTCTGATTTTTTCGTGGGTCTTTGGGGTTGTTGCCAGAACCCTTATAGGTTTAGGGGTGTTTCGTGTTTAGGCTGGAGAGTTTACATACCAACCGGAAACCTGTTGTTTGGGCTCGGGGTTTTAACAACATCACTTGGGTACGGCCTCCACTCAGTAACAGTTGGATAATATTCATAATAGATATAGAATAGGCCCTTAATAGTAGCCCTGATATAGACTGTTACTGTATGGGGGCCGTACCCAAAACATCACCCTTGTAACCCGCGAGGTTTGGGATCCGTTGAGGTCGGGCTTCGGGTTCGTCGAAAGACGCGCTGAGAGCTTACCAGCAATCGATCAATGCTGGGTTTTGTTAAAGAACCTAGTTGAGTTTACCATAGCCAGATGTTTCTGTACGACAGATCCCTAACGTGGTAGCTTCGAAACTAGGTTTTTGTGCGATAGATCTTCGATCCCTAATATGGTAACTTCGAAACTAAGTTCCTTCGTACGAGAACCCTGAGAAGGGCAGCCGCATGTCCGCAGGTAGAAGCACAGAAAGGCCTTGCTCAGCTTAAGGCACCACAGTGGCCTGGCCGTAAAAGAGGCATGCTAGAAGCATTAGTTTGCGACTGTTAGTTTCATTGCTGCTCGTAAATTGCATGTGATGCTTCTGACGAGCTCATGTCTGCTTCTGTGTTAGGACATCTACTGCGATGTATGTAAGTATGCATGCATGCATGCATGCATGCATGCATGTGTGTGTGTGGGGGGGTAGCTGTGGTATCATCGCCCCAATCTCAGTCTGCATCATACTCATAATCATCGCAATCATCACCACCACCACCACCACCACCATCATCATCATCATCATCATCAGCAAAGCGGCCACCATTCCCACCACCCTGCTATCGTTGTCCTGATCATGCTCAGCATCAGGGTACAAGGTGTATGAGTGTAGGGTTTAGGGTATGATCGTCGGCTGCGCCATCAACCCTAAACCCTAAACACAACCACCACCGCAAGCGTGTTCGGGCGGATCGTCATTGTCCTGGCCGTCGCCGATAGGAGGCGGTCAGAGGCAAAGGCTCAGCGATGAATTAGAGCCATCAGGAAAGTAGATGGGTGGTTGTCAAAATTAGGATCCCTTCCTGGGTACCCTAAATATTAGGTGCCGTATTATATGGAGGACCCAAAAAGAGACCCTAATTTTGACAACCACCTAGGTGGACTTCCCTAAACTATACAAGCGGCGCAAAAGCCACGAAAGTCCTCAACGAAGGGTTTTTGCACTAAACCCCAAAGCCCCAAAAGGACCAACAACTCATCACAGGAGCCCGTCTCATCCTAAACGTCAAAACGCTCGGGTTTAGGGTGCAGGGTTTCAGCCAGTTGCAAAAGGGTCTGTATTTCAAGCCTAAAGCTCTGAACCTTAGAGCCCTGAGCCCGAAACCACACCCCTGAACCCAAAACCTGCTTCCCTGACCCCTGTCTGTGTCCCAACAAATAACAAATGGTGGTTTCCGAAAATTAGGGGTACCTCTAAAGGGATCTATAAGGGTTCCTATAAGGGATCTATAGGGCTTGGGGTTTGGGAGTTTCCGAAAATTAGGGGTACCTTATTTTGGGGTCCTTACAAAAAGGATCCTACTATTTAGTGTACTATATTAGGGTCCCCTATTTTCGGAAACTCCCGAATCCTGCCCACCCGCTTAGGGTTCCTTTTTATGGGCTGTGTTGTGTGCAGCTCTCGTTAGGCAGTGAGCCCCCAAAACTCTCGGCCACGGCTGTGTGGTGAACCTCGCCGAGTGGCTCAGTAGTGGTACCATCAGTACAGGCTCTCCCTGTGCAGCTTCTCAAAACGGACGAGCTGTTTGGGTTTCTGCTTCGGGCTTTTGGGGTTCAGGTTATGTAGGGGCCTCAAAAAAAGAATAGGGTTTCGGGGTATACTATACCATAAACTAAAATAAGGAACCCCCAAAACCCTATTCTTGTTCGAGGGGCTCCTTGTTATCCACAGGGGCTACGATCGGCGTTATTGGGGCAATGTAGAGGTCGGAATAGCATTGATAACAATGTCAGTTTGTAGCTCACAGGCCAGCAACTGTACCATAATATACAGTCCTCTTTTTACTGCTATCGAAACCGCAAGACTCATATACATGGAGCCTGCAGCCCCGCATAGCCCCATAGCGTACTCTGCAGCCTCAAGACTTCTTGGGGTCGGTTATGTACGTGGTAGTGGGGAAGGAAGAGCTTACATGTTGAAACCTGCAGAAGCCCGCCAAGCAACTATCCATGCATGGTGCAAAACTCCAGAAATTTAGGGTTTGGGGTCTATTATTATGAATTATGATTATCATTACTAGTACTACCATTGCAATTACTATTGTTGCTGTTCTTATACCTTATAACTGGTTTTATCAATACTATCAGTATTATTTTGAGTATTATTAGTATTGTTATTATGACTATTATTTTTGTTCATTATTTCATTGTTACAACCTTGCTTCGCGATACATCAGCCATGCAAGAGGCAAAACTATTTCATTGTTACTGCTACTATTGTTATTTTTGTCCGTGTCTGGAACCCCAGGCCTTCCACGCTAAGTCGAATCCCTAAAACTCAATGCCAATCGCTCGTGTAAGCCCTCTACCTTAGAAGCTGCCCCCACCCTGTAATAGTGACTATAAGGATTCTATTAGGGCCCTATTATATTCCTATTATGCCACTATTACAGTGTGGGGGGCCTATTCTAACCTCTACCGTTTGAGTTTTCGGATCTCTCGGTTGCAAGATCGGGAGCTAGGGTCTTGATCCTCAGCGATAGATCCGATTTGGGCTTCACGCACAGCCTTTCATATACTTTATGATGGACTTGAGCCCCATAAAGCCCTACTGGGCATACCAAGCTCGAGCAAAGGCGTAGCATGCACCAGAAACCAGGCAGGCGACCCCAGCTGTTTGCTAAGCGCCTCTTTCGTGACAGGCGATGGGCCAGGAAAACCGGAGAGTGATCCTCATCGATTTTGAGGCCTGTGATTGCTGTGGTGTGTTGTATCACCAGGTTTCTGCATTCGGGTTTATGGTGTAAAGATCCTTCTATCGGGTGCCGCCGTATTCCAAGAACCTGTCGAATCCTCAGTGGCTTGGAAGCCTCATGAGGCATTCAGGTTTTGGCTTGAACTAGTGCTGAGTACTAGTCTGACGTGGCAGCAGCACCAGCGGCAGTGGCCGTAGCAGTAGGAGTAGGGGAAGGAGCAACAGCCATAGTAGTTTTATTTGTAGAAGTAGTACGTAAGTAGTTGTAGCAGCAGCAGTAGCAGTAGTTGTTGTTGTAGTCGTAGTAGTCGTCGTCGTAGT